TAGTACCGTGCTGTTTTGGTAGTACCGTGCTGTTTTGATAGTACCGTGCTGTTTTGGTAGTACCGTGCTGTTTTGGTAGTACCGTGCTGTTTTGGTAGTACCATGCTGTTTTGGTAGTACCATACTTACTATAGATTTGTAGTATGTTTTGAAGTTAGGTGTGATGCCTCCAGGTTTTCTTTTTATTCCAGATTCTTTTGTCTATCTGAGGTATTTTGCATTTCCGTGTGAATTTTAGGATTTTTTTTTCTATTTCTGTGAAGAATGTCTTTTGTAATTTAACACGCATTGCATTGATTCTGTAGATCACATTAGGTGATACAGATATTTTATGAATATTCTTCTAGTGCATGGGCACGGGATATCTTTCCATTTACTTGTGTCTGCTTTAATAGCTTTCATCTATGTTTTATAGTTTTCATTGTGGGATCTTTTGTCGTTGGCTAAGTGTATCCCTAAATATAATTTTTTTGGTAATGAAATAGCTTTCTTGATTTCTTTCTTAGGTATTTCACTATTGGTACATGGGTGTGCTACTCATTTTTATATGTTGATATTGTATCTTGCAACTTGACTAAATTATTTCTAGTAGGTGATTTTGTGGAGTCTTTACGATTATATATGTGTGTGTGTATATATGTGCACGTGATCATGTCACCCTGCAAACAGACGGTTTGACTTCCTTTTTTCCAATTTGGATGCCTTTCACTTCATTCTCCTGTCTAATTGCCCTACCGAGGACTTCCGGTACTGTGATGAATAAAAGTGGTGTAAAAGTAGCCACACTTGTTCCGGGTGTCAGAGGAAGAGCTTTTAACCTTTCCCCGTGGATTACGATGTTAGCCGTGGGTTTGTCATATATGGCCTTTATTGCGCCGAGATATGTTCCTTCTGTACTTACGTTGTTCGGGTTTTGTCATGAAGGAATGTGGATTTTTATTTTTTTCAGCATCTGCGGAAATGATTGTATGGTTTTAGCTCTTGATTTGCTGAATGTGATGTCGCACATTTAATTATATGTGTTTTATTGAATCATCCTCATATTCCTGGGATGAATCCCACTTGATCAGGGCAGATCATCTTTTTATTGTGTTGTCAAATGCAATTTTCAAGTATTTTGCTGAGGATTTTTTTGCATCTGTGTTCATCAGGGATATTTAAAATGCCTGTGGTTTTCTTTTTGTGTTATTTCCTGGTCCGGTTTTTGTACCAAGGTCATGCTGTCCTCATAGAACAAGTTTTGAAGACTTCCTTTCTCTTCATTTTTTTGGGGAACATTTTGAGTAAAATTGGTATTAGCTCTTTTAAAAATGTTTGGTACAATTCAGCAGTAAAACCATGATTGTGTTTTGTTTGACGGAAGACTTTTTATTACTGCTTTAATTACATTACTCATTATTGGTCTGTTCAGGTTGTTTTTTGTTTGTTTGTTTGTTTGATAAGGAGTCTCGCTCTGTCGCCCAGGCTGGAGGGCAGTGGCATGGTCTCAGCTCACTGCAAGCTCCGCCTCCTGGGTTCACACCATTCTCCTGCCTCAGTCTCCCAATTAGCTGTGACTACAGGTGCCCGCCACCACGCCCGGCTAATTTTTTGTATTTTTAGTAGAGACGGGGTTTCACCGTGTTAGCCAGGATGGTCTCAATCTCCTGACCTTGTGATTCACCCGCCTCAGTCTCCCAAAGTGCTGGGATTACAGGCGTGAGCCACCGCGCCCAGCCTCAGGTTTTTTATTTATCATTCTATCTTAGGAATTTGTTATGTGTCCAGAAATTTATTCACTTCTCCTAGATTTTTCAACTTGTTTTCACATAGGTGTTTTTAGTCATCTCTTAGAATCCTTCATGTTTCTGTGTTATCAATTGTAATGTCTCCTTTTTCATCTATGATTTTGTTTTCTTTTTCTTTTCCTTAGACTAGTTAAAGCTTGTCAATTTTGATTTTTTTCTGAAAGATCCAGCTCTTTGTTCCATTGACTTTTTGTATTTTTTGTCTCTATTTTTAAAATTTCTTCTCTAATCTTTATGATATTCTTTCTACTAATTTTAGCATTTTATTTTTCTCGTTTTTCTCATTACTTGAGGTGTACTGTCAGGTTGGCTATTTGAGATCTTTTTACTTTTCTGATGTAGGCGTTTATAGCTATGCCCTTTTCCTCTTACAACTGCTTTTGCTGCATCCCACAGGATTTGTTATGTTGTATTTCTATTCTTTTTTCAATAAATTTTTTATTTATTGGTTGTTCATGAGCATGTACTTTAATTTACATATATTTGTAGAGTTTTTCCTCCTGCTACTGATTTCTAGTACTGTTCCACTGTGGTCAGGAAAGATACTTGATATGATTTCAGTTTTTAAAAATGTGTTCTGACTTGTTTTTTGGCCTAACGCATAGTCTATCCTGGAGAATAATCCATATACTATTCAGTGGAATGTGCATTGTGCAGTTGCAGAGTGGAAAGCTGTGTAAATGTTAGGTCCATTTGGTATAGAGTACAGTTTAACTGATGACGTTTTGTTGTCTAGATGATCTGTCCATTGAGGATAGTGGGGTGTTGATTATAGTAGAGTGTTGAGGTGCTCTATTATTGTATTACAGTCCATCTGTCCCTTAAGGTCTGTTAATATTTGCTTCTGTATTTAGTTGCTTGAGTGTGGGTTGCATATGCACTTACAATTGTTAGGCTGCTGTTTACTTCTTTTTCATTTTATAATTATCTCACTTTTTTCTTTTTTTGACGCAAGTATGTATAATCTAAGTACAGCTACTTCTGCTTTTTTTGTTTCCACTGGTATGGCATATCTTTTATCATCTCTTCACTTTCAGTCTGTGTATGCCTGTAGGTGAACTGAGTTTCCTGTAGGCAGTATGTAATTGGGTCTTGTCTTTTAATCCATTCACACTCTGTCTTAATTGGAGAATTTAATTTGTTTATATTTAAGGTTATTACTAAGGTAAAAACATACTACTGCCATTTTTTACTGATTTTCTGGTTGTTTTGCTGCTCTCTCTTTTTTCTTTTGTTCTTTCTCCCTTCCTTCCTCTTTTCTCTCAGATCTCTCTCGCTCTCTTTCTTTCTTTTCCTTCCTCCTTCCCTTCCTTCCTGTCTTTATTTGTAGTGAGGTAATTTTTTCTGGTAGTGTGTTTTAATTCCATACTTTAAATTTTAGGGTGTCTATTATTGATTTTTGTTTTCTGATTACCATGAGGCTAAACAATGTAATTATAACAAGTTGCTTTAAACTGAAGAAAACTTAGCTTTGATTTGTCCCAGCTACCCAGGAGGCTCAGGCAGGAGGATTGCTTGACCCTTGGAGGCCGAGGTTACAGTGAGTTGAGATCGCGCCACTCACTCTCCAGCCTGGGTGAGTGACAGAGTGAGACCTTGTGTCACAAAATAAATAAACAAACAAGCAAACAATAGCTTATGATGAATTCTGATGGTAAATTTTGAGCTGATGATTGATAAGGTATAAAGAAGACAGTGAAAATCATTCATAATCTCATTACCCAAATATAACTACTCCTAATGTTTTGGTATATGTGCTTCCTAATTCATAACCCTCCCTCTCTCTCTCTCTCTCTCTCTCTCACACACACACACACACACACACACACACACAAAATAGATACATTTTACACACAGATACAATTTTATTGTAACATTTTAAGAAAAATGGCTTTGTAATTTTTTGTTTAAAAATATGGTGAATATCTTTTGTGAATAATACTCATATAAAATATTATACATCTTAGTTTTAAGATTGTGGTTTTTGCTCTTTGGGGTGGCAGGTCCACTTCTTGCTAAAAGGAATCATCTCGGTGTCTTTGATTTTCCTTCTGTCCCTTAGGCTATTGCTTTTAGAAGTAGGGCCTGGATCTCCCTCCTGTTTGCTTGGGAGTAAACACATGGTATCATGGCGTTATGAACACATGTTGCCTGCGCCAGATAGCAACACTGGCTCCAGTCTTGAAAATAAAGGTAATATAAGAGTTTTTGCCCTCTGATTAATACTAAGATGTAAATAAAGTGGGTTTAGATCATTGTAGCAAATGATTTAGATATAACTCTGTGTGTTCCTTTTAATTAAGAGCTCAAGATTTCTATACAGTGTGTGTATTGTGGGCTTTATCAGTAAAAGTATAAAAGCTGATACGGGGTGAGGTAAGAAAATGAGTAGGTTTTACTATCACCAGGAAAACGTATCATCCATACACCCTTGCCAAGGAGACATGAATTACTTAAATTGACTTCTGGATATTTGAGTTTGAGAATGATAGTGTTAAGTTGAATTTTTTTTGGTTGCTAATAGAATGTGAGGTTTTACTGCTTGATAATATTTCTTTTAGTAATTGATTGTGTGTGTTAATGAACCTTCCTGTCAAAAGCAAAAAACTGAAGAGGTTCAAGGGAGCATGAATTATTAACATCTCCTTTAAACAAATAGGCTAGATTTTTTAAAAATTTTCTTTTTGAGACAGAGTATTACTCTGCTGCCCAGGCTGGAGTGCAGTGGCAACATCTCTGCTAACTGCAATCTCTGCCTCCCAGTTTCAAGTGATTCTCCTGCTTCAGCCTCCTGAGTAGCTGGGATTACAGGTGCGTGCCACCACGCCCAGCTGATTATTGTATTTTTAGTGGAGATGGGGTTTCACCATGTTTGCCAGGCTGGTCTCAAACTCCTGACCTCAGGTGATCTGCCCTCCTCGGCTTCCCAAAGTACTGGGATTACAGGCATGAGCCACCGCGCCTGCCCATCACCTTCTTACTTGCAGTCTTGTGTGAAACACACCACGGAATTCACATTTACTTACAGCTGGGAGAAGCTGCCCACCTTGTGTAATAAGGTTGGAGCCTGTCTGCCACACCTCCCTGTGTGTCTCCACGTGTCCTCAGGCCTGCTGGGGGGCTCCCTTGCCCTGGTGTCTCATGCAGAGGAAGGACGTGGCGTGTGTGGAGAACCAGCCTGGCGGTGGTGCGTAGTGACTGCCCAGCCAGTGGAAGCTGCTGCTCTTGCCTCTTCGGACCGTCCCTCCCCTGTCCAGGACGTCACCTCATCGAAACACTGCAGGTTGAGCCCAGTAGGAAAATGAGAACTGCTCTTTTCCTTTCTTTCTTTTTCTTTTTTTTTTTTTTTTATACAGAGTCTCACTCTGTTGCCCAGGCTGGAGTACAGTGGTATGATCTCGGCTCACTGCAATCTCCACCTCCAAGGCTCAAGAGATTCTCCTGCCATAGCCTCCCAAGTAGCTGGGACTACAGGCATGTGCCACTATGCCCAGCTAATTTTTCTTTTGTATTTTTAGTAGAGACAGGCCAACCTAGTCTTTAACTCTTCTTTTTTTTTTTTTTTTTTTTTCCTTCTGAGATGGAGTCTCGCTCTGTCACCCAGGCTGGAGTGCAGTGAGTGGCGTAATCTCGGCTCACTACAAGCTCCACCTCCCGGGTTCACACCATTCTCCTGCCTCAGCCTCCCTAGTAGCTGGAACTACGGGCGCCCGCCACCACGCCCGGCTAATTTTTTGCATTTTTAGTAGAGATGGGGTTTCACTGTGTTAGCCAGGATGGTCTTGATCTCCTGACCTTGTGATCCGCCCACCTCGGCCTCCCAAAGTGCTGGGATTACAAGCGTGAGCCACCGCAGCCAGCCTAGTCTTTAACCCTTGACCTCAACGGATCCATCTGCCTTGGCCTCCCAAAGTGCTGGGGTTACAAGCGTGAGCCCCTGTGCCCGGCCGAACTTCCCTTTTCTTTCCTTTTCTTGGTATTTTGAAAGTGAACAGCCATGGAACAGCTTTTTCTTTTTCTTATTTTTTTTTCGGTAGAGACAAGGTCTCCCTAGGTGGCCCAGGCTGGTCTCAAACTCCCGGACTCAGCAGCCGGTGTTTTCAGCTGGTGCGGATCCAGCTGGTATGCTCGTTAGGCTTCTAGCTGAAGGAAGTGTCCGCTGTAATCTCGCTGGCATCCCATCACCTTCCGGAAGCAGGGCGTCCGCCAGCTGTGTGTGCTCTTGGCTGAGCCTGTGCTCGGGGTGCTGGTATTGCCTGTTTCCCAACCCCTTGTTTTGGGTGAGATCCCCGCCCAGCTGGCACGGGAAGGAGGATGGGGAGTGGTCACCACTGTGGTTTGTTGCACAGTGAGTTCGGTGGCTATCCTGCCTGGGCCCGGCACCCATATTTCTCCCGCTTGGCTGCAGCTCCAGCCCTTCTCCGTCCCCCGTAGCCTCCTGCCCAGTCCCACACCGCACAGAACTCCAGTGTCCCCTCCCCTAGACTTTTACACACACCTGGTAAGTCGGGCCCGGGACCCACAGCCCATAATGTGAACTGTACACGGCCTGGCGGGTCGAGGTGCTAAGGTCGCCCCTCACCTTTACGAGGCCTCAGCTTATACCGGGTGTGCGAGCTCTGGGGCCCTCAGAGCCCAAGCTCCCCGCCTGAGGGTCTAGGGCCGTGGCCTCACCTGCCCATAGTCCTGCAGTGACCTCTGTCATGAGTCCAGCCGGCTCGAGCCGGGCGAGGAGCAGCAGTACCTGGACATGCTGAAGCAGCTGTCCAGGAGCATCAGTCCCCCGCACCGCGTGGTCAACAAGATCGACAAGAACGAAGGTGGGCTGCGGCCGGGGTGGGGGCCAGCGTCCTGGGGATGCCACTGGGCTCGTGTCTTAGTGTCCCCTCTGCTGTCCCAGACAGAAAAAAGGACCTGAGCAAGATGAAGAGCCATCTAGACACTGCGACAGGCCTCTCCAAGCTGTGGACTTTGCCCACAGCCCACGAACGGTCCCCAAGGGCAGGGGTGGCCCAGCTGTGGACGGGCACTTGGTGGTGATGTGGGTTTAGCAAAGGCACCAGGCAGCTCTTTGGGGCCTGGACAGAGGCCTCCAAGGCTCCACTCATGTGTGCTGGCCTTTGAGTCCAGGCTTCATCTTGGCCAGTGCCCAGCCTTTGCCCTACTCCTGACCACTGCTGTGGCCCTCATGCTGGCCCATCACAGCCTCATCCAGCCAGTAGCTGGGGACCCAGCTTGCGGTGGCCTGACCGTCAGCTGGCTGTGATGGGCCTGAACCTGACCTGGAGTTCTGCCCCTGACTTCCAGTGACTGTGGGCAGGCAGCTGCATCTCAGTTACCCCATTTGCAGCCCATGTGTGCTGTCATGAAAATGAAACAAGACGGTGCTGGTGAGAAGCAGGTGGAAGGCAGGGTCACTGGCCACAGGCTGCTGTGAGCTCAGGCAGCACCTCAGAACTGCATGGGCATTGGCCTGTACCTCCCTCTCATCTAAACTCAGGCTGTTGCCACACCCCCATCTAGAAGCGTCTCTCTGTTCTGCTTGTCGGGATAGAGTGCCAGTCACTATTGGGCGGTCCTCCGGGCCTTCCTGAGTTGATCCTTAGGGTTATAGGACTGGGTGGGATACGGATTGGCCTAGATGCGACTGAGGCCTTCCCAGCCTGGTCAGGGACCTGGCCACTGTCCCTTCTCTTGACTCATTGCCTCACTGCCAACAGGGATGGGCAGCTCCTGAGGGTGAGGGCCGCCTGCCTAGACTCTGGGTCTGGGAACAGCTGGTCAGCTGAAGGGAGCTCCTGCAGAGGTTTCTGAGGGCGGAGGCCCAGTGGCGGTGGTTGGGATCTCAGATCTGAGCCTGAGACCAGCCATGTCTCCCAGCCCTCCAGCACGGAGCTCAGCCTAAGTTCCCTCTCTCTGCAGGTCCCCTGAAGACCTTGCCAAAGTGTGACGTCACCCTGGAGAAACTCAAGAATGACATGGCAGTGGTGAGTGGGATGCTGGGGACCCCTAGGGGAACTGGGGCTCCCCCAAGAGCTCCTGGGAGCACCACAGGAGGGTCCTTCCAGGTCAGGGCGGCTGGGTGGGGGCTGGGCCTGACCTGAGACCCTGCCCACCAGGCCTCTTCCAGGCCAGGTTTGCTGTGCTGGGTGGGAACATGGGAGAAGTCACCCTCTGTCTGCGGCCCCCATGGGTGCCTCTGCCACCCGGCCCAGAGGAGTCAGGGGCTGTGGGGGTGGGGGATTACACCCAGGATCGGCCAGCGTTGTCTGCACAAGGGTGGAGGCTGAGAGAGAGGCCTTGGGAATCAGGCTGTGAGTGAGGACGGGCCTGGGGTGGGAAGGCCCCTTAAATGGAGAACCCTCAGGTCCTGGGCTGCTGACCATGCCCATCTTGCCTCCAACCCACTGCCCCGGTGCCGCTGACCAAACAGCAGCACCTGTGCCAGCAGCTCCTGGATGCCATCCTGGCCAACATCCGCTCACCTGTCTTCAGCCATTCCCTGCGCATTTGCTTCAGCCATGACTGTCATCCACGGCCCACTCATCACGTACATCCAGCTGGGCTGGGCTTTGTGGAGGGCGGCTGGCCAGCCCTGGGCCGTATGTGCCCAGTGTGGTCACCATGCTGCCTTCTCAAGGCCCCGGTGGTATGCACCCAGAAGCATAGGCTTGAGGGCGACCAGCGGCAGAGCACCCCCAGCATGCTGCAAGGCGAGGTGGCCAGGCTGGACCCCAAGTGCATGATAAACCTGGACCCTTCTCACTGCAGCTACAATGGCACCGTCCACTCGATCTGCAAGTTGGGCGAGTGTCCAGGAGTGTCAGGCTGGCGCTGGTTAGCAAACCTTGACCGCAGCCCCAGGCCTCTACCGTTTGAGCCGGAGGGCACAGTGCCCAGACCCCACCCTGTGTTCATGCTCCCCAGGCTGTCTGCCCTGTCTTCACATACACCGAGCCCAGGACAGACTGGCCATGTCTCTGCCCTCACTGCCAGAGCCCACGCACCTCACCTCCCCAACACAGATGTGGCTCTGTTTGCCTGTGGCCCTAGGGAGGTGGTGGGCAGGACCTGTGGGTACCCATCAATGCAGGGCACTCCGGGCTTCAGGTTTGGAAATCTGAGAGTCAGAGAGACCTCCAGGCTTTGCCACAAGCCTCACCAGCACCTCCTCGGGTGTGAAGAGTCCTGTTCGGGAGCAGAGTTGTGAGGCAGGGCAGCCCGGGGCCTGTCCAGTCACAGGTACAGCCTTGTGTGGTGCAAACGACAAGGACCTCCCAAGTGTGCCACCACGTGCCCACCGACTGCCGTGCCCAGAGTCCGCGATGGATGGACCGACAGTGGCTGTACAGTGGGCAGACCCAGAGGAGCTGTCTGGGGGCTCAGGGCAGGCAGGGGTCGTTCGGAAAACCAGGCTCCCAGTGCAGCAGGGACAGCCTCTGTGCACTCCAGCCCCTCCCAGCTCAGGCCCTTCCATCCCCTTTCTGGCTCGCCCTGTGCTGACAGGAGCGGGTTGTCCACCAGTGAGAGAGGGTCTCTGCTCTCTCCTGTGTCCTTTTGTCCCTTCATCTTGTGTCAGGTCAGCTGTCCAGGGTGGCTGTGTTCAGTGGCCGAGGGGTGAGAAAGCTGCGGCTCAGGGACAGACCCTGCTCTTCCCAGAGCCCACTAGGGAGCTCAGCGCAGCTGACGTGTCCTACCAGTAGCTTGGGCACACAGGGCCCCATCTAGGTGACATGGCACCAGAGAGCCACGTTGACAGGGATCAGTCTCCCTGAGCCCAGAGCTGGCACACAGCAGAGCCAGGGCTAGGTCCCCAAGATTGTCAGAGGCAAAGCCCTGGGCTCCAAATTCCATTCAGATTCAGTTCTTCACTGATGATGAGGCTCTGGGAAGAGAGCCCTACAGCCAGGCAGGCAGCGTGCAGGGCTCCTGGTGTTTCAGCCAATTCTGGTGTGCAGGGCGGGTGTGCAGGGCCTGGGTGCGGTGCCGACTGCCTCAGGCTCACGCCCACTGTTCTGTTGCAGGCACCAAGCCCTTCCTCAGGTCGGTGCACCACTGCGTGACCTCTAGGCTGCCACAGCTCCCGGACAAGCACTCGGTTACCACCTTGCTCAACACCTGTGCCCGGAGCATCCACCAGGCCTGCCTCCCGGCTGCCTAGCCAGGACTGCAGGGATGGCCCGAAGCCTCATCGGGGCCAAGGACACATGCCTCCTGTCAGACACTTCTAGGTGTTGGCTTCCATGGAGAGCCTGGAGTTAGGTTAACTTTCCTCCTTTTCTCTTCTGCCTTGGGGATCTGCCAAGTGAAATCCCACACTTGCACAGACTGAGACGGGCGCAGTGGAGCGGGCTGCCTGCAGGGCAATGGCCGTCTTCTTGGAAAAGGTGTTCCATGTGACTTCCTCCACAAAGCCGGACACGGTCCCCAGCCACCGTCCTCGGGCCACTCTCCCCGCGGCCTGTCCAGGGTCCGGGTCTGTCTCAGCAGCATCAGGGTGCGCTCAGGGTGTTAGAGCGTCTTGTGTGTGCTCGACACACCCCTGCTCCTTTCTATAGGAGAACACAGAGGACATAGGAAACCCTTCACACACACATGGGATTCTCTGCTCACAGTTTGGGGTTCAGGCTGCGCTGCTTTGGGCAAGTGGGGCACCCCCTGGAGAAGCCCCTGAGTCCAGGGCACAGGCTGCCTATCGGAGGGAGGGCTGGCCAATGGCTGCTGCCAGCTCCCTGCTACCAGCTGGGCTTCGGCCCTTGTGGCATCCCTGCTGAGCACTGGGGCCCCCAGGGAGCAGGGCCATCAGGGATCGTGCTGCCAGCACCCCTGTGCCACTTGTGTAAGGGCCGTGTCCATTGTGATGGATGAAGAGCGAGGCCCTCAGGACCCGCGTCCTCAGAACACCACGTGCTGCACCACCCAGAGAGAGCCTGGCAGTGGGCGGGGCCCCCATGCAGTGAGTGCCTCCCTGTGTTGCCCGCTCACCTGGGCACCGGCCAGCAGCCCTTTGGTGACGAGGTCCTCCCTTTTTACGTGAACTACCCCATCATCTGTGATGGTTACAATCTTGTGACTCCTGTGTTTGTCAGGAGTTGTCACTGTGTCCCCCTCTCCGTGAAGCTGGGCCTGCTGTCCTGTCAGGATGCTGTCAGCCTTGGGGCCGGCACTGTCCACTGTGGCCCCGGGCCTCAGCTCTCCTTTTCTAACACACCATCCCATTCCTTGGCCTGGTTCATCCCCCAGCTTCCTGGCAAAGTTCCTGCTCCCTGAAGCAGGGAGAGGTTGAGATTAATGCCAAGGAAGTGGGGCCATGGGCTTGGGAAGACTGTGGCTGGGTGACGGTGGGCGCTAAGCTGGGCCACCCCACCCCCGACTGGACATGGCTGTGCTGTGGTGGAAGGGGTGGTGCGGGCATGTCCACACCGTTCTGGAGACGGCCCTCCAAGGAGGAGGGCCCGCCTGGCTGGACCTCTTTGCGGTGCTGTCAGGGCAGGAGAGGACGGCCTCTTGCCCCCAGGAGCGTGTAGTCTGGGCAGGAGACCCAGAGTGATCATGTGTTTGAAACGCAGCTCCAGCGCAGCCAGGGGACCAGAAAAGCCCTCCTGCCTCCAGGGAGGATGTGCACGGCTCTGCCAACGCGCCTCTCCCAGGGCTGCTGGCAGGTCCCGGATGAGCAAGACTGGCCTGCCCAGGCAGGCCTCTGCAGACAGCAAGGGCTGGGCTAGGAGCCAGGGGCTGGGAATGGGAAGGGACACGACGCCTGATAGCCAGTGAGGAACCAGGCATACAACCTGGAAGTAAAGAAGCTTTATTTTCAGTTTCAACAGGTAAAGCGATACCTACTTCATCATGTGCTTTTTATGTAAATGCTAAATAGCAAAATAACAGAAAATAAATGGTTAGTTTAGAAATCAAGTACTTTATCTATTTTAAGTGTCATCTATCTTGGAATTCAGCCAGGCCTAAAGGTAGTGAAGTGTCAGGAAGTGCTATAGAGAACCAGTCTCCAGCTGCAGGTTGGTGGGCCTGGCACTGACCAGATGTGGGAGGCTCAAAGCACTGAGCGGTGCAGGCGCCGTTTCTGCATTGCTTGCAGCCTCTTCTGCCTCTCGGCAAAGTTGTTCTTCGGGGTCTGCTTCAGGGCAGGCAGGACGGCACGCTGCGCCACAGGTGGGCTCAGAACCAGGCTGGGGGCGGGGAGAGGGACTGTCACTGTGGGCATCCCTGGGAGTGGAGTGGTGTTGGAGTGGGGCCTGCGTGGCCCTCACCGGGACCTAGAGAGGCCTCCGCGCGCTCTGCTTGTGCACCGCCGCCGTCCCTTCCCCACTCCCTCCCTGGGGCCCAGGCTGCAGGGCTGCCCCACTGTCCCCATGCCCATGGGACTCACCATTTCTTCGAGAGGCCCTTAGTGGAGACCTTAGGAAAATGCATGGCTTCCTGGTCCCTGGGTGAAGGAAGAGTCAGCAGTGAGCTGTGGACAGGTGCCCAGGGATGGGGCAGGGGTGCACCAGGCACTCACCTGGGAGAGCTAGACCCAGCCTCCTCTGGGGCCGCCTGGGGCCTCTGGCTCCTTTCCAGGAGGGACCTGAGGTGCTGCAGCTGAAAGGCAGGGGCAGGGGCGTGCTGGGGCCTGTGGCGGCGCCAGACTGCGAAGGGCCAACCCTACCACCCAGCCTCACCTCCTGGGTCTGCAGGAGGTTGGTGTTCCACAGCTCGCGGATGAGCACTTCGCACTGCTTCAGTGTGGTGGGTTTTCGCAGGTGAAGGGGCAGGCTCATTGGGGGGAGTGCCCCCACCCCCATCATCTGCCTGCCCTGGTGCTGGCTGCTCCCCATACAGGCCGCGCCTGCGTTAGAGGCCTCTGCTTTCTCCTTTCTGAAACAGTCATTGCAGCAGCCAGAGGTGACCTGCCCAGGTGTGTCTAACCACTCGCCCAGCATACCTCCCCCGGCAGCGTCCAGGCCCATGTGGGGGAGGGCCTGGTTCCCTTCTCCCACTCGGCAGGGTGCTCTGGGCACCAGGTGGGGGTCTCTGGGACTGCGGCCTGTCCCTTTCTCCCCTCTGAAGGTGCCCTAAGGGTCAGATGGGCTTCAATGGGTAACCAGCTAGCTGCCAGGCTGCTCTTGGTCGTGACCCCACACCCAGTGGGGCCTCTTGCTCCAGGCCTGGTCTCGGGATGTGCAGAGATGCAGGAACCTGTCCTGCTGGTTGCGCTGCTGAAAGTGTGCACTCTAGCATCCCAGGGCGGTCCCAGAAACTCAGGGATCATCAGAACCTGGTCCTGCTCTGTCCTGCTGGCCTAGTGCCCTCCAAAGGCAGGCTGTGGCCAAGGGGCAGCAGGAGCGCAACTCACTTTTCTTGGTGAGAACATTACTTTTCTCTGAGAAAGTGGTTTGGCGGCTGCTACTGGCCCCCTTGTGGCCTCAGGTCAGCACAGGACCGCCGGGGGAGGGAGGAAGACAGCGCCCACCGATGGGTAGAGCGTGGCCGTCATCCGCTGTCATGAGTCCTGGAGACAGGCCCCTGGAGCTAGGGGCAGAGCAGCTGGCTGACTGCAGGGCGTGAGCCTCGTAAATATAGTCATGGGGCCCTTCGGGTGCAGGCAAGCCTTACCTGGCCTGCCCTTGCACCCCAGGAACACCCAAGCCTTACCTGGCCTGCCCTTGTACCCCAGGAACCTTGTCTAGCTTGATGTTGTGAAGTAGGGGCTCCTCTTCCAGGTCTGCCTTCTGGGGGGCGTCAGCTTTCGAATCTTGCTTGTTGAAGGAGCCGGGCTGGGGCCTGGCCTGGCCTTGAGAGTTGGCTGCAAGTCAGACCCTACAAGGCCGGTCACTGCAGGCACCAACAGTCACTGCCCAAGTTTTCCAGGATCAGCTGTGTGTACCCAAGAAGTCCCTGCCCCTGCCTCAGTGTCCTCCTCTGTAAAGGGAGCCTGCCTTGGACGGTGCTGGGGGGAATCAATGAGCTTCTGAGGGTGAAGCCCATGGGTGGTGCCTGTGAACACTAGAACCACCAAGATAGTGGAGGCTGGCCCCATTTTGGGTAAAATGAAACCGCACGAGAGGCTTGGGCCCAGCCTGCGTGGGTTTCCTCGGCAAGGACAAGGCCCATCTAGCGCCTGGGCCCCTCCCAGGAACGGCGCGGCTTAGGGCTGGGCTGAGGAAAACGTCTGGCCTCCCGCGGAGGCACAGTGGGGAAAAGAGGCTCTCTGCGCCCGGCTCACTTTGCAGAAGGTGCCATGAGCCCAGGGCTCTGTGGGCAGTGCCATCCTTCCTGCGTCCTGCCTTCTTGTGGCAGGAATACGGCCAAGCAGGGCTCCTGCTGGGCAGCCAGGGTACATCCTCCCTAGAAGGCCACCCGGGGAAGCCCCTCCTGCCTGCCTGCTGCCTCGCCTGGGGTGCCTGGGGTGCCTGCCGTGAGGCCTTACTGCCCTGTGTCTGGCCCCTGGTCCTGCCCACCCCCCCTTAATCCCCTCCTGGTGGCTTCAACTTGCAGGGCTCTTTTCCGCTGCCCCTTCACCCCCAAATCCTTGAGCTTGGCCCAGCAGAGGGGGCCTGGGCAGCACCCCTAGTGGCCACCCAGGCTGGGGTCCCCGTGGGACACTCAGCCCTGTGAGCACGTGGACGCCAGCCTGCTCACCTGAGTGAGAGATGGACTTGACAGACGGGAAGCTGGACGTGGAGAGGCTGTCTGCAGGAGAGCGCAGCATCGGTGCTGCCGCCCGCAAGATGCCCGTGCTTGCCTCCTGGCCTGTGTGTCCGTGAGGGGCCCTCCTTCAGCCTGGCAGGGCTGTGTCCTCCCGGCTCTACCCACACTCCGCGGACGCAGACCCAGCACGCACCCAAGGGAGCAGAGGCCCCGGAAAGGTGGTTTCCTGAGGGGCCGTCTGGAAAGCAGGAGGGCTTGGGACACATGGAACAGCAGGTCCCGAGGGAGAGCATGGCCTCTTCCTGTGTCCCCTTGCTGTGTCCCGTCAGGGCCCCCGGCACCGCACTTTGCCCAGAACAGCTCACTGGAGTTGCTACAGCGGCTAGGGAAGGGCCCTCCCTCGACCCCATTCTCCGTGTCTGCCTGGGAAGGGGCAGCCCTAGGCACTGCCCCCGCTGTGATGTTCCCAGGCTGGTTCCATCCACCAGTCAGATGTCCTGGTGTCATCCCCGG